AAGGTCCAGTCTCTGAGGGAGGGAATTGGGAAGGATGCTATACATTGGACGTAACAGCTTGGATGCACGAGCGTCATTGAGGGCGCGACTGGGCCATGCCAATGTCTCTANCAAGGTCCAGTCTCTTCGTGAGGGAATTGGGAAGGATGCTATACATTGGACGTAACAGCTTGGATGCACGAGCGTCATTGAGGGCGCGACTGGGCCATGCCTGACAATGTCTCTAACCATTTATATGACCCGTCTCGGGGTCCCCATCCAGAAAGACGGCAATGACCAGCTAAGCTGAGTTTGCTGGTAATGGCTGTTATACTTTGTCATTGTTTGACCGCCTCTGGATGTCTTCCGCCCTTCACGTGGTTGTGAGAAAAGAGCCCTTCGGGGAAGTCGGTCGACTGGCATACGCAGCACGTGACCAAACCAGCACAACCTATCGAGTGTGATCAGTTCATCTATCGAGGGTGAGCTATTTTTTCTGAATAACGTTCGACGTACTTCAGCAATGCCTATCCGGTGTTCCCACCAGACTTAGGCAATGCTCCGAAGACATCGATGATCAAACGCTGGAAGTCTTTGACGTCCTCGGCACGTATCGGCCAGTTTTCTGACCTAAATATCACCGCGAGACCAGCGGGACTGTGCAGGTGCCTAGGTAGACAAACTTGTCTACTACCTCAATCGGTTCATCCGAAAGCATGAAGCTAGGGTTCGGGCCCACCAAGTTCTGCAGTAGCACTTTACACTTTGCAGGTGTGAAGCGCACGCTGAACCGTGACGCAGAATTATTTAGATTATTTAATATTGTTTGCATTATCACGGGGTCAGATCTAAATAGAGCTATGTCGGATGCGTCAAAATCCGTGAAGGGATACCCCCAATAGCACTTCGACCCCACAGGCATTAATGGCTGATAGTGACTGTATCGATGACGAAGTTGAAGAGGAAAGGTGAACGATGACAGCCTTGTATGACACAACTTGATATGGTGAACTTAGAAGAGAGCTTTCCGTAGACCCCTACACGCCCGCGGGAGTTGGCGTACAGAGTCTTACGTAGGGTCGAGAATTGATTGAAGACACTTTTGTCCCACAGACAATGCTATGGTGCCTAGTGACCAACAGGGTCAAAGGCTGCTTTCAGATCGAGGAACAACCATTGCTGGCTGCTGGAGGCAGTGTCGCTGTTACAGAATCTGTCAGAGGATTAAGATTTGATTGACCCATCCTCTTGCAGGACGGAACACAGCTTCGCTTTCACGGATCTGTCTCTCCTGTGTTCAGCCAACCTTTGAAGGATAGAGCCAGAGAGCACCTTCGGTGCCTCGGCTAACAGACTGATACCACAGTGGTTTTCACACAGCGTGTGTACCTTTTTCGAAGATAAGGGTAACTGTCGATATGCACCAATCCGTAAGCACCTTCTCTTCGTTCCATATAGCACCAATAAGGTTTGCCAGATGGGTCACCAGGTACTGTCCGCCTCCTTTGAAGGGGCCGTCCGGTCCTGGTGCCTTGTCACGTTCCAGTATGAACATTTCGTACTTTATTTCTCCTTCTGAAGGGCTGTCAAGGTTAATAATCCATTCGTATTATCTCCACCGGTTGTGTTTCAGGAAGCCAGCTGAACTGTTTTTCGTAGAGTTCCGTCTTTCCATTCGATGCTTTTGCGAGTGAATTGATGTGCCATATTTCTCACTTATTGCTTGCTGACCATTGTTTTCCCAGAGTCAGTCAATCGTCCAGTCATCAGCAAAAACCTTGCAGTTGTGATCACCTGTTGAGGTGACCGACTTACATGTTGATCAGAGTGGGTCCCAGTACCAATCCCTTGGACACTCCGCTTCCAGGAAGCAGCCGTGCAGAAAGCAATCCGTTCACGCTGATCCAGTGCTAGCAGCCTCTCAGGAAATTGAATGCCCTGTACACTGAAGGCAGCGGAGCAGGCTTAAGATAGCCCCGTGGTCCGTTCTGTCAAACGCTCTGCCGAACTCTGCGAATACGACTATTATCTGTTAGTCACACCCTCTTTGAGCGCCAGCAACATGTTCGTAACAGATAGTCTGTTGAAGACTAATCCATGGTTATCCGGTACTTGCTCAGTATTTGCTGTAATATGACTCCGCAGTGGCAATTTCACCGACCTCTCCATGACCTTCCCGATGAGTGAGCGAAAGCTGGTAAGTTCATGTCCGTCACCACCGTGGTACAACGCTTAAATATTAGTTATCTTCCACTCTGACGGAAAGCCTTTTCTTATTGCCCATTTGAAAACAACGACAGTGACTAGGATCAAAGTGGCCGAAAGGTGGTACAGTACCAGTAGATGAAACACAAAGCCCTGGGACCTTCCGTTTGCACAGGTCACGCCCACCAAAGCTGGCTGCGTTGAAGTAGTCTGAGGGACTATGGTGCCAGAGTATAACTGAAACTGGGTCTAACCTGTCTTCCATGACATAACTTGTCTTATCCCTCAGAGGAGGTAAGTTATCAGCTTTTCGCAGTGCCCGATTGGTGTAAGAGCATATCGGGTTAGGCTGTTCTTTGGCGTGTTCGATTAAGCGAGATTCATAGGCATGTCGTTGAGCTTTCAACCGATTGCACTGTTTGTGAATTCTTCCCTTTTTCCATAGTGACCTGTTAAATATAACACGCTTGATGTCTGGCTCGTAGGTTTTCATTTCTATGTACATCCGAGGCGCGCTCTAATCACGGCTGTAGCGGTTCAAAGGTTCAAACGTCCCATATGGCACCTAAATCTTCCCTTGGTACATTCCACGGCGTTTATTCTGTCGTGAGGATCCAACTCGGAAATGTGGTCCACCAAATATTAAACACCAAGACACCCATTCACCTGAGGCTTCTAGTCAGGCACATGCACCACCAGCTTCAGATAATCACTGGATGCCAGCGATGCTGGTAGTTCAGACCTCAGGGAATAACATCCCAGCAGATGATGACCAACACCCAACTAGATACCGGGGCAGTTGGTGAACGTGTTGAACAACTCGACACTTACGTGTCGAGGCGCAATTGCGCCCGTGTAGTAGGTGACGGGCTGGTAATCTGGTGGTTTACTCCAGTGAATATTGGACACGAGGAAGTTCCCAATTATTGTGTATCTTGAGTTGTTAGAGAATTATTGGTATTACCCGATTCACCTGGTGCCGCGGTTTCACGGACTTCGATAGATATCCACCAGCAAATTGGCAACTCCCGATGGAGCCATTCGACGAGCGATCGTGCCCGATAAACGAACAGAAGCCCGTTAACATAAGCTGGTACGCACATGCCAGGAATTCGTTTCTACAGTGTTCAGGGGCGAGATGGGTCAAGTGGTTAGAGCGCGAATCTACTGACCGGAAGGTTCGTGGTTCGAACCCGACCTCTGCTACTCGACTTCCCCTGTCTAGGCTTGGGCGACCTGGCAGTATCCCAGCCCTCGTGCCTCCATCGTGTGGCATGGCAGCCAGGCGCCGAAAGGGTGCTACAGCTGAACGATAGTGTTCAGTTTTCCTTTGCACTACCACTTCTCCACACGGTAATCAGGGGCCAGGTCCGGTTGGGGGTCCATCACTTCCTCCACAGACTGTATCCACGGGAGCGCAGACAGCGAATTTTGTGGAATTTAGCAAGCGTCTCCTCTAGCAGCGTTCGCAGTCACTATTACCACAACTGTGGTATACTTTGTATTTGCCCAAGATGTAACGGTTTTATTGTGCAGTCTGCGGTGACTTATAAGTCACCGCATAATGAAGCCGTGTAATTACACGGCTTCAGTATGCACGCGCTGTGTGTTGTCGACAAGCCAGTGATACCTAAAGCGCCATCGAGCGTCTACGTGCAACTATACCGCAGCATATGAGGTACTAATCGTGCAGGTCTGATTTGTGTGAGGCGGGCAAACGATAGATTGCTTACGAGGTTGTGGTAATAGAGTCAGTCATCAAAAAAACGACTTTCCTCATTATATGACGGTAATATAACCGTCTAATAATCACCAGGTAGGGTTAACTGATGGTTACTTGCATCATCAGAACCGTCATATAACATTTTTGTATGGTTAAGTGAAGGTCGAACCACGTTTTTGTATGTCAGATAACCTACAGCTATTCGTCAAATGACCGCGTGTTTTCCGTTTATTGGACGGTTAAAAAAATCGGTGACCTGAGTTATTATGCGCTATTCCCTAATTTGGAGCATTTCTACCTCGAAAATCGCCTACTTAAACCAATCACTTATACCAAGATGTGGAGAATTCGGCTGCCTGGAAAACATCGTAGCCTCCGATAAAACTTTTCATGAGCCGGATGACCGTAGCCACCCCCACCAATCAACACACTGTTAGCACTGGCTAGCCAAGGTTTGTTTGCCCATCTAAACCAATCGACGCAGCCCTGTGCCATGAGTGGCTGTTTTCAACGGATTAGCGGATCCACTGATCTGGTGGATAGGATGGAAGCTGTGGCGTGGGATGTCAAGACGTCAGCGGTATCAGGCGTTCGCGAAGATGTAATGACGGCATATGTTGGTTCTGAAGTGTGCAGATATGGAAATTGGTATTACTGAATCCACACGGCACAAACAGCACACATTCACACGGGTCGGGTGATATAGGAGAGAAGACCGGGCGAGGCAGCAACACGCGTGTTTTGGAACCGAAACCGAAAGTGTCATGGCGTTGAAAAGATAGGCCAAGGTGAATCAGGGAGGGGGCGTACAAGCAGGCTATTCCTTCCTGTTTATGGCTCGTGGCAGCTCGTCCGCGGTGCCTGCAATAAGAAGGGAGAGATGGAGAGGCACGCATATGACAGGCGTGCAAACAGATACAGTCGAGTTTCCACCGCGTTACAAAGCCTTCGCCCAAGCTTCGTGTTTCTTGTTGTCACTTACGGGCTTCAGTTCACCTGAAAGGCAACAGCGAAAAGTGTGTGGTGCTGCTCTTTAAGTTATCGGCATTGAGTGGTAAGCTCGCCAGGAGTCACATAAATAAACATTCAAAATGCTTCCAGCTGGGGCCAGACGCGGCGTGAACAACGGATAATTGAGCCGCTTGCCAGTCCAGCATCAACTCGAATTCTGTTTGGCCGAATAAACGACCTGTGTAACCAAACATGGTCTAATGTCCGCCAAATGTCGGTTGCCAGCGCCCCACCAAAGGGACTCCAAACTCTCGGAATACCATCACCACATAGAATTTATAAACAACGCACCATACAAGTGTTTTGATCTGCCTTCAAGAGGTCACGGATTGACGAATTAATGCACACCATCGGGGCTTCCGCCCGAAATTCCCGGGTCGGTTTCGTTCTCGTCATTCAGCGGCCGTCGTTCACCTGAAAAACATGTTAAAAAAGGTGTAGGACTGCTCTTTACGTTCTTAGCGCGAGGTGGCATGCTTGCCAGCGCGAGGACTCGCATGCATAAGTGTCTAATGATGCTTTGAACTGGGTTCTAAAAGGAGCGTGGGCAACTGTGTGAGGGAGGTCGTTCCACACAGCTAATAACCCATATGGGAAAAATTTTACCTAATGTGTTTGCTCTGAGCTTGAAATCCTTCTTACCATATCCCCGCCATGTGCTTGCTGGGTCAACGGTGGAAAAATTCTGGCCAAGCCCCGTTCAGACAAGGCGACTTGGTCGGTATATACAAGAAGCGGTCTGACGTAGGCCCCATAGAGAATTTGGATGTCCATGTGAGTAATACGGGAGAAGGCACGCCGAATCGTCCATAGAACAGCGAAGGTCGTTTGGGCCGACTTATCATGGTCCAGTGAGGACGTGCTTGAAAAGAACCACATACCCAAATCCATTTTGGCAACTATCTTCGTAATTTTTCTGGTCCACTCTCACCACGCACAACATATGCATTCCCTGAGCCTCCTACAAATGACATACAGGGCACCATAGGACATTCAGAGGAAGGTGCCAGTCCAATGACCATTGCTTTGAAGCGCCTACATCCCTTTGAAGGGCACTGGCATCAGAACTCCGGAATTTCAAGTCTTCCGGAAAAAGCAGACATACAATTGCAAGAACATCTGGAATAATCACTACATATGCCAGACACATCGGTGATCTCAAAACGGAGCATTGAGGAACTCCGATGGAGACTGGCCCTGGAGAAGAGTAAAAACGACCATACTTTTATTTGAATGATCTGTCTGATAGGAACGCCTTGATCCACCTTTTGA